AAAAGAAAAATGTCAGATTATATATTATCTGTGATGATGCATCGCTGCGTTGGCTAATCCAGGAGCTTCAGAAGCGCAGATATTTAAGAAAACATTTATGTCTAATACTGTATGTTTGTGTTAAACATGCATGAAAGTGGAAAGTTTTCCATACACTAGGCTAACGGCACAAAATGCATGAGGAAACCGAGCTCTTAAGCCACTAATGCATTATGTATGATATTAAATGTTACACTTTTGATAAAGTAAAAAAATCTGTTTATTTTAGTGCATCTTGGTATTTAGTCGGCTCATAAAAAGATTTCTATCTCAATAAATGCTGTTTATCTTTCTAAAACTTTAAAAATCAATTTAACCTGTCTTTAGTGAACTAAATTTTATATTTTTTTGTGTTTTAAATAAGTGCTGAATATTCAGAAAGAAATGACAAAGATAAAAAATGTTCATAAAAAAATATGAAAAAGAAAAGCGTTTATTCATGTGCAGTATGTATGTATGTACAATACAGTAACTAAATAATATTCATTCATTCATTTTCTTGTCGGCTTAGTCCCTTTATTAATCTGGGGTCGCCACAGCGGAATGAACCGCCAACTTATCCAGCAAGTTTTTACGCAGCGGATGCCCTTCCAGCCGCAACCCATCTCTGGGAAACATCCACACACACACTCATACACTACGGACAATTTAGCTAACTCAATTCACCTGTACCGCATGTCTTTGGACTGTGGGGGAAACCGGAGCACCCGGAGGAAACCCACGCGAAGGCAGGGAGAACATGCAAACTCCACACAGAAACGCCAGATGAGCCGAGGTTCGAACCAGCGACCTTCTTGCTGTGAGGCGACAGCACTACCTACTGCGCCACTGCCTCGCCAACTAAATAATAATATGTAATATACTTAATTAAATAAAATAATAAGCAATTATGTTTAGAAATGTGTTGGAAATATCTGCTCTCTGTTAAACAGAAATTGGGGAAAAATATTCATGTAGCTAATAATTCAGGGGGGCTAATAGTTCTGACTTCAACTGTATGTATGAGTGTAGGGTTGTAACGGTATGAATTTTTTATGGTATGATAATCGTCTAAAACAATACCGCGAAACCGTCAAACCGTGGTATACGGTATGTTACAAATGTTACAAAATAATAGAAAAGTGAAGCAAATTTGACTTTTTCCAAATAATATATTTTCAGTTACTATAAACAACACCACTTACAATGAACAAATAAAAAAATAAGAAAATAATAAATAATGTGTCAAAGTCCAAATAAAGTCCAAATAAACATGGTGCAAATCCTCAGTAAAAAATAGATATAAATATTTACTATACTATAAATAGTTACATAACGAAACTAGATTCAATATGGAACATCCTTAGGTTTTATGTGCCAGCATGGATATGGTTGTCTGTGGATATGGATTTGGATATTGTTGTCTGCAATGCAGACAAACAGCTGCACCTTCATTTGCGTCTTTTGAAAACAGCAAGAGCAGCAGTTCGTCTTTGCTGTGTCACTGTTTTGTCATGTTTCTGTGCTGCTGTGCATGCAAAAGTACTTAGTATGAGAATTATTTCATGCAAAACTTTTTTTTGCGTTTTATTTAGCCGCGCATAAATGTATGCCTATCTCTCATTCCGTGTTGTTCAAAAAGCTCAGTGTTGGTCCACAAACAAAAGTGAAACCTATGCTTATTGGTTGTGATATAGCGAGTTTGAACCAATCTGGGCATGGAGGAGGGACAATGCATCAATGTATCATGTCTGGTTTGTCCGGAGAAACAGTGACGAGCGTTTCTTTGTCAAATCAGCGTTGTCAAATTTTGATGACGTAACCGCACTGATTCCGGAGCCTCTGAAAGTCCGCAAATGTTATGTGATACACCACTGGAAAACTGAGATTCTCTTCTTTATGCCAATCTTTGAATTGTATGAATCGGATCAGCGGATCAAAAGTTATTAAACATTTAAGAGCAATACTTATTTTTAGCCGCGGGCGGCTGTCTCGGTCTTTAAGGGTTAAAACCGTTGATATGCAATTGTTCATGGTATGATAATCGTGCACGTTCAAATCGTGGTAGACCGTCATACCAGTATATTGTTACAACCCTATATGAGTGTATGTATATTAGTAAACTAGCTTTTCTTTGCACGGCTATGAAAGGTTGTTTTGTGACTGATTGCAATTTCTTGTAATCTGAAATTATAAACTTAAACTAAGCTGAAAAAAAATGTTGTCTGCAAAATTGTTGCAAACAATTTATTAGTGTTAAATTTAAACAAACAAATTTAATTTAGTAATGTTTAACTTAATTTATTTGTTTAAATTCAACAAAAACAAATTGTTTACAACCCCCTAACTTAAAGAAAATTTAGTAAATTCAAGGAAACATCTTTGAATAATCTTTTTTCAGTGTAGTTTATCTCACAATACAGTTAGAATTGGTGAGATTCACAATTTATAAACCTGTACAAATGCAAAACTGAAAATAACATTTCATTTGTAATTGTAACTAAGTTAACAGTAAATGGGAAAAGCAGTAAAAATATTTATAATCTAACAAAAGATTGTTTAGACGCTGTTTATTTAGTTTATCTGTGGATCTTTTAATAATCTGTATGATGGTTTCCACAAAATGTTGTGTGTTCAACACTGTTCTCTGTTGTGTTGTTTGAGTGTGTATTTGTGCTTTTGTTTGTGTGTGTGTTTCTGTGTATTTGTTGTCTGTGCGCACATGTTGTTGTGTCTGCTTTTTTCTGTTACTGTGTTACTTTGTGTTTGTCTGTGCCTTTGTGTATGTGTGCTGTGTGTTGTTTTGTTTTTGTTTGTGTATGTCTGTTCAAATGTTTTGGTTTGTGTCTGAGTGTGCGCATGCACACAAAATTGTATAATGTCTTGGGTATGATGGGTATTACAGGAGGAGGTTAATTATTATGACATTTCTGAAGTCTTCATTTTTTTAAAAGCCTTATAAACCACACAGAATTGCTATTATTTCTTTTCCAGAAAGCAAAAATACACACAGTTTTCTGTAGGTGTGGAGTTGGGGGAGGGATAGAAGTAGGGCTGCACGATATAAGGTTTCACCATCGCAGGATGTGCAATGTTGAGTTTATTATTGAGACTATAGTTTACCAGGAGCCACAGTTCAGAACACAGAAGATTTTCTGATTCACTGAAGAGCTTAACCACAATGGAGTGAAAGTTTAACATTTGCATGTGTTTTTAAGGCCTGTGACTGCGTAAGAATTCATGCACAAGAGTTTAAAGTATTCAGGTACATGAAATTGTACCGTTTGTAACTCTAATAAAGATGTATGTGTTGGCTTATTTATACAATGAAGATTTTAATTTCTGTACATGAATACTGTGATGCAAACTATTTCACTCGTATCTTACCAACAGTAATGCAGAATAACCCCCATGATCCTCCAGAATCATCCCAATCAGTCTAAATTAATGAATTCTTTCCAGATAGAGCTATTCAAGCTATCTGGTGAAATTGTATTGACCTTGCTCTTGATGTTCGAGCAGGCGCAGCCATTGGCAGCTAGCTCTATACAACTCTCACATGGTCGCCCACTGAAGCTTAGCAGGGCTGCGCACGGTCAGTACCTGGATGGGAGACCACATGGGAAAGCTGGGTTGCTGCCGGAAGTGGTGTTAGTGAAGCCAGCAGGAGGCGCTCAACCTGTGGTCTGTGTGGGTCCTAATGCCCCAGTATAGTGATGGGGACTCTATACTGCACAGTGAACGCCATCTTTCGAATGAGAGGTTAAACCGAGGTCCCGACTCTCTGTGGTTCTTAATAATCCCAAGATGTCCTTCTAAAAAGAGAAGGAAATTCATCCCGGCTTCCTGGCCAAATCTGCCGTCTGGCCTCTGTTATCACCCTCCCCATATCATAATTGGCTTCATGACTCTGTCTCTGGTGTGTGGTGTGCGGTCTGGCGCCGTTACATCATCCAGGTGGATGCTGCTCACTGGTGGTGGATGAGGAGATTCCCCCCATTGTGTAAAGCGCTTTGAATGCTCAGAAAAGCGCTACATAAATGTAAGGAATTATTATTGGAATATATTTGACTCGACATCCGGTCTCATTCCCTTCCATTGATTTTTAGACACTAAAGCAGCTCGTTATGTTGGTTGATGCTGCAAACTGGTTGTATCTTATCATAATATTCGACTTTTTATGTCAAGTCATGAACATGTATGTAGAGCAAGTAGTTTGACTGTTTTCTGCTGTATATTATTCTGTCATTTCTCCCATGAGCAACTGAATCGGACGTTCTAAAACAATCGCAAACGCTAACGCACTTCCGCATTTCAGAATAAAGGCTGATTTATACTTCTGCGTCAAACGCCGGCGTATGCTACGGTGCTGACGCATAGCCCTTCGCCGTGGCTGTCGGCGTCACTGACGTGCACCTCTCAAAAATTGTAACTACACGTCGCAACAACGCGTAGAGCAAGCTCTGTGATTGGTCGGCTTGGTAGAGCTGACGAGTCTGGGCGGGACCGAGAACCGCGCGAATGGCGCGAGGCGATTGTTTACAAGTGTGGAGTCCCGTGAAGGAGCTCCGGATGGAAAGTTTTTTTTTGTTTTTACCTCATAGTTAAAGTTGTTGCACGTTCGCCGGTTCCTGCCTCAAAATGAGCGAGTTTGAGCCACTTGTACAACCAGGAAGTGTTCAGGAAAACAAAACAGCAGCGAAGAAACTCGACACAGAGGAACATTTACACCTCACTGCCAACTAGCGTTTCGGAAGGGTTAATGCAGACCAACAGAGACAGCGCGCAGAAGTATAAATGCACAGCTGCGCGCGTTGCATGCGCCGTGAGTTACGCCGGTCACTTGACACAGAAGTATAAACCAAGCTTAAGGTCAATACATGTCACAATAATAAATATTGCATTGTCAATACAAAGTGGGAATACAGTTTGTACAGTATAATGTTACGTCCACACAATTCACCACCCTGTGTGTGTATCAGGTGGCCTGCTGCTGGTCTTCTGTTCATCTTCTGCTGGTGGATGATTTTCTGCGCTGCGGCTCTGATCAGATGCTCCTGCTGTTTGAGGACTGCAGCTCATCAGAGCAGATCAACACGTTCCTGCTGACGGATCTGTGCGGCGTCACACATTCGGTGCGTCTGCTCACCTTTACACTTCACTACTGTCTGTATAGAGTTTAGGCTATATGATAGCTCTATTCATTACACTGCTGAATGCTTAATTTTGATTGGCTGATGGCCATTCTAAGGTGTTTGGTTATTGTCAGATAAACGCACAGATAAAGTAGTTCCTGCAGGTTTTGAGTGCATTACAGCTCCATATCACTACACTGAATGAGTTCTTTTACAGCTACAACAGTCAGAAATCACATCAAAACACAACAGGAGGAGGAGAAGGAGATGTTTATGATGCAAACATTTGATTTACTCTGAAGCACTTTCATTTTATTTTGTTTAATAAACTGTAAAGGTTTTTAATAATTAGATATTTTTCTTTTCTGATTTATTTTTTTTTAGATCAGGAGTTTTTTTTTTATTGCTTTCAATATTATAACAAATTTGACACCGAAGGAATTTAAAGGTTCACGAAACCCTTGAGTTTTTTTTTGAGATGTTAACAGATGTGAGTGTTGAGCATCAGTTAAGACAATGTTAGCACCTGTCAGCTGTATTTGTGGGGAAAACTGGATAATTTTGAGCTTTTGTCAGCTAATTTCAGCTTCCGGGTTTAAAATGATTTTTGGGGCAGATCAAAATCGGCGACGTGGTGCAAAACTGCAAGTGCAAAGATGACGCGTCAGTTTCTCATTATTATTCATAGCGGAGTTTTCTTATCCTATTAGAAGAGCCGGCTTCTTAATTATTCATGACTGCACGTGCTTTCCGAAGGCAAGGTAGACCTGTATGGCGGCAAATCAATGCTAATATTAATCGAGCGCAGCGGTGATGTTTACACGCGAGGATAGCCAATAGCGTTAAAGATAACAAGTAAACCAAGTCGCGCCCCAGGACTGACAAAAATCCAAAATGTTTTGTGCGAGCAGAGAGAAGAACCAGAACAAGCGAGAACCAGCAAGAGTGTACATCGTGCGCACAGATGATGATGATGTGCGCGCGGGACTTCAGGGTTCAACGCTAAGGATTTATTTCTACTGGCCCGATCGGACCAGTGGTTCAGATTTTTACTTGCCCTGCCAGTATTGACACTGGCCCCACCAAAAAAAGTTAATTGCTATTTCTTAGCCACAAAAAAAAAAAAATGTCAAAATGTTTGTAAATCTAGAATTTAAATATTTAAAAAATGTTAAAGTGTTTTGCAAACAAAAGTAGCAAAACGTGCAGGTATTTTATTGCAAAACAAAGGATGACTGACCTGCTAAACTAACGGCAAACTGTACAAAACATCCCTTCATTTTTTTTAGTCGTGGTGTACCCTCGTAAATGTCTGCTTCTAAGACGTTAGATACAAATGTTTTCCTTTAGCATCATCACTTGATGTTGCCGCCATGTTGCTGTCTCTTAGCTTTACTGGTTGTTACGGAAAAAAAATAACATGCTCACAACATCCAAACAGATAAGAGGAACCAAGAAGGTAACATTTGAAAAACACAAACGGTTTCTCTAATCTGACTGTATTTGCACGCAATTGACAAATAGTCACAGGCAAATTGAACTTTAGTTACAAGGCATTAGTGGCCCGATCACGCCAGTAACGATCCTGTCTACTGTCCAGAACATCTCACACGCTGGCCCCGGGCCATCGGGCAGTCCTTATTGTTGAGCGCTGGACTTGTTTTCTCGCGCTGGATTAGTTGAGCGCGCGCGTGAAGATCCCCTGTGCACTCGCGTGCTGTAGCTTCCTCGCGTGTAGGCCTGTAATCTGCTCGCGGTTCACTTCTCCTCGCGCGTAAACATCTCCACTGCGCTCGATTAATATTGGCATTGATTTGCCACCATAGACCTGCCAGTGGCAAGCTGTGACACCTTGATGAATGGGTGAGACGTGTCCATGGACCCACGGCACACAGTATTTAGCTGATCATGAAGGCTCGTATGTGTTTGTTTCCGTAATCCACGGGGTTTGTTGCATGTTTTTTCCCGCGATGCTGTCAAGGCGGATCATACAGCAAAGCTGTTTGTATGCTGCAAGTATTGTTGTCGGGAGAGCAGTGCGAGAATTGGAGAATGGCGGACGCTGTCTTTTATCAGGAATTCATTCACATTTAGACACATCGCCGTGCTGCTGTGTTCGCCTAAATCCTCCAGATTACCAGCAGGGCTGATAGTCAAAATAGACAGGGCAAGTGACCTGCAGCACTGAGTCTGCATTCAGACCCGGGGATTGAGGGAAAAGTCCTCATTTGTAAAATCAGGTCTTTATTTGTCACATACACTTTCGTATAGTGAAATTGAGCATCTCCTTATCTTGCTATCCAGGAGAGTTGTTTTTCTCCAGCCGAGGCCGTCTGGCAGTAGAAAGAAGAGAGTCGAAAACAGTAGGAAAATACTTCAACTTTGGGTCAATATCTGCCAATTTCCCAGGTATTTAATGTCCGTCACTCGTCTCGCGATCTGGCCAAATCTTGTTGCAGAGCTGCTAAATTCACCTTGATGTTTTCCAGTTTGCGGTCTAGGACCATAGTCTGATTTGTGACCCTACCCATATGCGTAGTGTTTATATGAACACGATTATCTTTGTAATCATATAAATTGTAGTTGTGTGTGTATGAAATTACGAATAACAAGTGTAGCAGGGCATTAAATTACTGTTTATTTCTTTACATTTTAACTTTTGTAAACTATAAACTCATGCGTCTCTTCACGGTTTGTGTCTCATTTTGTGAGCCGACTGACAACAGTTGTTAGCTCCCCTCCTTCTCCCTTCTCTGCTGGTCACGCCCACTCCTGCCCTTTCCTCGCGGAGCTCCACGTCCATTATGATGCATCTTTCAGACGGCTCAGACAGCTAGCTCTATACAACTCTCATATGGTCGCCCACTGAAGCTAAGCAGGGCTGCGCCCGGTCAGTACCTGGATGGGAGACCACATGGAAAAGCTGGGTCGCTGCCGGAAGTGGTGTTAGTGAGGCCAGCAGGAGGCGCTCAACCTGTGGTCTGTGTGAGTCCTAATGCCCCAGTATAGTGATGGGGACTATATACTGCTCAGTGAGTGCCGTCTTTCGAATGAGAGATTAAACCGAGGTCCTGACTCTCTGTGGTTATTAATAATCCCAGGATGTCCTTGGAAAAAGAGTAGGGGTTTCACCCTGGCATCCTGGCCAAATCTGCCCACTGACATCCTAACCATGCTGCACACTGGTGGTGGATGAGGAGATTCCCCCTATGTGTAAAGCGCTTTGATTGTCCAAAATAAAGTGCTATATAAATATAAGGAATTATTATTATTATTATTATTTTTACTTTTATTTTTTTTTATTTTTATAAAATTCTGAGGTAGACCTGAACTGAAAGTGGGGGATGTCATGACCTTTTAATCCATATCAGTAGCAAAATTCATTTTGAAATGTAACATGCAAGTTACATTTCAGGGCACAGGGGCTCAGTGTTTAGCATTGTAGTTCCACAGCAAGAAGGTCGCTGGATCGAGTCCCGGCTGCATCAGTTGGCATTTCTGTGTGGAGTTTGCATGTTCTCCCTGTGTTGGTGTGGGTTTCCTCCGGGTGCTCCGGTTTCTTCAGTCCAAACACATGCACTATAGGGAATTGATCAACTAAATTGGTCGTAGAGAGTGTGTGTGTGTGTGTGTGTAAATGAGTGTGTGGGTGTTTCCCAGTACTGTGTTGCAGCTGGAAGGGCATTCGCTGTGTAAAACATATGCTGGAATAGTTTGTGGTTCAGTCTGCTGTGGCAAACTCTGAAATATAGACTAAGCCGAAGGGAAATGAATGAATGAACATGCAAAATACTAATGCATTATGTAAAATAGCAGTCTATTTCTGTATTTAAATTTGCATTCTCCATGACATGCACAGTTTGGAGCAAAATGAAAATGAAATGATTTAATTTACTCCCTAAAACAGTGGTTTTGGAAATGACAAATGTAAATTTTATCATTATGTTGGCTTGAGAAAGCCAACATACTGTTATGCTACTCGGTCCGTGAAAACAAACGTATCTCCTCCTAGGCCGTTCATGTCAAAAGGCCCAAATGTGGTCAAAATGTGCTTTCTACATTCAAGATTGTTGCTATATCTCCTCATGCCTATAAGATTATTGTTGCTTATTGTTTTTTTATAAAAAATGTTAAATATTAAATTTTTATAATCCGGGCATATAAAAACATTATACAAGCCCCAAATTTGGCCAAAAGCTGTATTTAGATGCGGTAGATTTTGTTGCTATATCTTTAAGGTTTATCAGACTTATAGTTTTCCAATAAATATTTTTTAAGCATTATTTTTTTTTAAATATGGCAAGCCATTTTTGACTTAAACTCCATAATTTTTACTGATATGGCAAGCCATTTTTGCACGTATCACTTTCACACTTATTAAGCATTGTATTTTCAAAAAAATTCCCTTATTCCCTTTATTAATCAGGGGTCGCCACAACGGAATGAACCGCCAACTTATCCAGCATTTGTTTTACGCAGCGAATGCCCTTCCAGCCGCAACCCAACACCAGGAATACATAATGTTCAAGTCCAGTTTTTGACACTCATAAAGACTGTCATAGAAACATTGGGGTTGATTAAGATCACTCATATTGCCAAAAAGCTTTGATGTATCATCACTAACCTGTCAAATGTCCCCATAGCAATAAAACAGTATAACCTAGCAACCATTTAAAAACAGCAATATCTCTACATCAGAACATCGTAGGGACCTGGGCTTTGGCTTGTTTGACTCATGCTAGCAAATGGGACTTCCTGTGTACTATGCATGGTAACAATGATAATGGAAGCCAAGTGCTAATAACGATTAGCTACATGCTATGAATGATTATCTAAATTAAATAACATATGCTAGAAATGCCTTCTAAGTATTAGCATTTGATCAAACATATACATGAGCATTGCCATTTAGCAACTGCTGAGCAACCACCTAACAATGCCATAATTGTTTTAGTCACACGACTTGACTCGAGTCAGACTTAAGTCACAAAATTTAGGACTTGAGACTTACTTGACAAATATCCAAAAAAAACTCGACTTGACTTGGACTTGGCTGTCATGACTTGAGACTTGACTTGGACTTGAGGTAAATGACTCGGGGGGGAAAAAAAACTTGTTTTTGTTAAATACACAACCGTTTGTTTCATACTATGCATTTAAAGACAAAACCGAAAGATTTAAGTGACGCATGCGCAGTATTAACATCATCTGGACTGGATCATTTGTTTCAGAAGAGCCGCTTTAATTTATTGATTTGAACGATTCATTTGAACGATTCATTTGAACGATTCATTTGCTATTCGGCCATTAGAATGCGGTGATGAGAATGGAAGGCGCTCCGACAAAGTAGCCTATTTTACGAGTTTAAAGATTACAAACAAGACGGCTAATCAAAGTTTATACTATTTAGTCTGACTCAGTGCTTGCCACACTTGAGCGGGCCGTCTAAGTGTATTTAGTGACACGTTTGCACAGTTATTATCATTCTTCAATTCAATTTTTTTCAATTCAGCTTTATTTGTATAGCGCTTTTACAATGTAGATTGTGTCAAAGCAGCTTCACATAAATGGTCATAGTAACTGGAACAGTGTGGTTCAGTTTTTAGTGTTTAAGTTCAGTTCAGTTCAGTTTAGCTCAGTTCAGTGTGATTTAATCACTACTGTGAGTTCAAACACTGAAGAGCAAATTCATCGATGCTCAGCTCTACCAGTCCTGAACCATGCGATCCATTCTTCTACACTGTTTTATATATCCGCCTATTTTAACCAAACCTCCGCGATCGATGTAGTGGAAAATCCTCTCTCCTTAATCATTTAAACTGGCTGCAAAATATACCTAAACCATTAGTAATCAAATCTTGTAAATATGATTATTTATGAATATTTTGAGAGATATTCTGTTTTTATTCCTTTTTCTGTCATTTATTTCTCATTTGCTGTATAATTTATTAATTTGATGAAATAAGCAGTGACTTGACTTGGGTCTGACAAAAATTGACTTGACTTGCTTGAGACTTGAAGGTTATGACTTGAGACTTACTTGTGACTTGCACATGTGTGACTTACTCCCACCTCTGCTATTTACATACAGAAATGCATTGCTTATTACTAGTGGTGTAACAGTCACAAATCTCACGGTTCGGATCACACTGTGGTTTTTGAGTCCCAGATCGGATCATTTTTTGGATCAGCTAAAAGCAGAGGTAACATGTCATTTGTTTTCCATTTATACCAAAATATTACTGCAAAAACCATTGGTTTAACAAACAGAACTTAGAACCTGTAATGTTATTAAGAATAAACATCAAGAAAGAACCAGCTGAACCATAGGAAAATATTCAATAGGAAAAATGATATTTGCTGCTGTTGCTGATAATGCTAAATCTAGAAATCTACCATAACCTTAGAGTGCACCTGTTATGCAGAAATCACTTTTCTAAAGTGTGTAAACCCAGTTGTGTGTCAGCAGTGTGTGAATATCTCCAGCCTCTAATGGCCAACAAGAATTAATTGTGTTTGTTATAATCAGACTAGATGAATGAAACACTTCTTCCAAATTCTCCCTTTGTACGTGTCATCAGACAGGAAAAGCCCCGCCCACTAGTGCCCATCTCTCCCTTATTAGCATAAACAGAGCCCTGAGTGAGAAGCAGCCGTCTGTCCATTAGCCATTAGAGTGTTTGAGCTGCTGAAGATGATGTCAGCATAGACTCAGAGGATTATAGATGTGGAGTTTTAGATGAAGCACAAATGAACAGCAACTGGAGTCTCCATAGACTGACAGAAGCATGAAGCACACACTAAAGCTCAAGGGTGTCATGCTCAATTTCGATTATCGAATCAAAAAATGGAATCGTTGATGCTGCCACGCCCCTATGTCACGTCAGCTTGGCTTGCCAAGCGGAAAAAAAGGTTGTTGAAGTGCTTGTTGAACTACAGACGCAGGAGACCCGTCGACAGAGCTTAAACTCTCTCCTCTTTCAATGAAGTCGCCGGTGTGAAAGTGTTTTGGATTTCCAGTGAGTTATGTTGACAACGTTCGTGTTGTCAACACAAAAAAAAAATAAAAACACAGTTTGCAAGCTCTGCTTTGTAAATATCCGGGTTGGGCCGTTAGACGAGTGCTAGCATCGCGATCTTCCGCCCCGCCCCCATTGCAAATCCGTTCGCGAAAAATACACACTCAGGCCCTGATTACACTAATAGGTCTCAGATTTTAAATGTCATTTTATAACGACAGCGATCCACATCCACACTGGCGTTTTGCATTACTGAGCAGCCCTCCTTCCTCACTACCGCTGAAAACACACATCACGTGACCACACACACTCATTCACACACAGGCTCAGATACAGACGCACACACTGTCATGCGCTCGAGACAGCGGGTCCAGGCAGTCAGCGGGTCAGTAGACTGCTTCAGTCTTTCACTTTCACACTTGTACTTGGTAATTTTAGCAAACACCTCAGATACTGTTGGCTGGTTCCTGTTGGTTGTGCACCTTTTTTACCGAAGCCATTATAACGACACAGATCACTGCCTATTCACGAGTCCCGCGGAAAAAGTGATTGACAGGTGGTAATTATGTGTGTAAGCTATTAATTTACTGTATGATTTGTTTATGATTTTGTTTAATTTTTCTATTTTAAATCGAAAAACGAATCGAACCGTGACTTTAGAATCGAAAATGTAATCGATTCGAGGACTTGGAGGATCGTGACACCCTTACTAGAGCTGCACGATTCTGGCTAAAATGAGAAACGCAATTTTTGGCTTAAAATAAAGATCACGTTTCTCTCACGATTCTGTAGATGTAAAATAAAGCTTAATATGAGATTGTTGTTTTTTTCTCAAACATATGGTAAACAACAATATTAATATTATGTGCAGGTCTACTGGTTTCTATAAATAATTCTATTCTACTTATAATAATTCTGATGTTGAATTATGTTTGAGATATATGGTTGCAATCTGTCATTAACAACATTATTAGACCATTTAATTCACTGGTAAAATCAACATTATATAGGCTAGAGTTGTTATACAGACACTGTAAACATTTATTCTCATGCACAACACTCTGTGTTCGCTATTAAAGAAAAAACATCAAATGCTTGTCGCAGTCATAACTCTAAAATGCAATATGATTATTTAAATGACGTGCACGCTTTCGGTTTCATTTTTACTGCTAAGTGCTGTTCATACTTTACACGCAGCTCCCAAACGATCACTCTGTGTCACAAACTGAACATTATTAACAACTTTATAAGTGTTATTCGCGCCATATGCAGGTTCTTTTCACTAAAGTAGACGCGCGCATCTATCATTAAGTAGGGTGTGCGCCCGCACAGTCAGCAGCTCACGTCACGTGTGATTTCCCGGCCGCGAATACAGCATTATATGAAGACAAAAATGACGTTTTTGGGTGAATTTTATATTATAAATACAGTATGTGACAATGAAAAGACTTCTTTCCTGAACTTGAAAATATGATTGACAGAATCGTAGAAATGCTGGATTAAGATCGTCTAGGGGGTCGAATCGAGATTGCGATCTTTTTTCGATTAATTGTGCAGCTCTAGCACACACTCACACTGAAGCATACAACCACACCTGACCAGCACTGACAACACTAGTCCTGTTTTACATCTGCTGCTATGCTGATGCTGTGAACCTACACTGGTCTCACGGTTCGGTTCGGTTCGGTTACGATTTTCATGCCATCGATTCGGTTCAATTCGATATCTCGGTGCATCACGGTGCATTGACGATGCTTTTCATACACAGTTTTATATTTTCTTCACAGCAGCAGTTCTTGTATTGAAATGTATGAATATATTTATATTTATATAGTATTTGTAATGCAATTTTGTCATTTAATACAAACAGTCAGATGTATAAACTGTAACTTTAAACAAAACGAGCATTTAGCAAATAATATAAACAATTATAAATATCCAGCTCAATTTCTGATCCTTGTCTAGTTCTCTTACACCTCTTTGATTGGTCGCACCCTCAACAAAAACGGTTGTGATTGGCTCTTGCGCGCTGCGCTCTTCACAGATTAGTGACACTGATAAGCGGCAGGCGGCAGCTGCGATCTCACAGCTGATCCATGATAGACGCGGTGGAGAAAACTCTGCAGACACGCGCTCGAGTCTGTATCCAAAAGTAATGCTGTAAAACAGCCGAGAAGAGAAGAAAAGCCACGCCAGCAGGTCAAATGGGCCACTGTGTGTGTGTGTATGCGTGTGAGAGAGAGATAGAGAGAAATGGAGTACTTTCATTCTTTCGATCGCTGTGAAATAGGTGCTTCTGCTGTAAATATCAGCGAAAGACTGATCCAGCAAACACACACAGTCAAATTGTGAACAGTTTATGAGTTTTAAGTCGTTGGAGTGTTGTAAATAAATGACATCAGTACATAACAACTGGTTATAAATTATTACTGAACCAATACCTAATTGTTTGCGTCTGCACTGAAAAAACAATTAATTTTGACGCCCCAAATGCATAGACATTTATAGCTCCGCCTTCTAATTAAAAAGAGCACAATCTTATTTGAATTTAAAGCGACAGTCACCAAAACACCACAATTAAGATTAAAGCCTGAACGGGTCAGTTTCAGAGAGTTAGAGCACATTATCTGTGTGCTAATTTACACATATAATACACATTCTAGACACATTATTCAACATCTTGCAAAGAGGGGCAGAATAGCTCCATTTTAAAACGGTTTTATCATTATTCTTTACACCATTAGTTGTAATTGATAGCTCCTGCAGGATACATTTGTCTGATTTTCAGTGTGTTAAATCTGTTTTTAGCACGGCCGGACAGACAGTGAGGTCTCGGACACATCAGACGAGGTGCAGGAGAACCACCTGCTCACCGTTCAGGCTCTGGACTCCCGATTGCAGGTACTTTAACCTCTAGCTCATTCATGCATTCCTTCAGCTTAGTCCCTTATTTATCTGGGGTCACCACAGTGGAATGAACCGCCAACTTATCCAGCATATGTTTTACACAGCGGATGCCCTTCCAGCAGCAACCCAGTACTAAAAAACATCCATACACACTCATTCACACAAACGCACACTCATACACTATGGCCAATTTAGTTGATCAATTCCCCTATAGCGCTTGTGTTTGGACTGTGGGGGAAACCGGAGCACCTGGAGGAAACCCACGCCAACACAGGGAGAACATGCAAACTCCACACAGAAATGCCAACTGACCCAGTTGGGACTCGAGCCAGTGACCTTCTTGCTGTGAGGCCACAATGCTAACCACTGAGCCACCGTGCCACCCCATTTATTTTCTGAGGAGCTTAAAAAAAAAAAAAAAATATATATATATATATATATATATATATATATATATATATATTTTTTTTTTTTTTGTAATATTGTCAGAGAGAGAGTTTTTTTATTAAATCAATTTAAT